TTTGAATAAAATTATTTACTGGGCTGGAGCAGTACAGACCTGAAACATCTTTAAGTCAATTCATCATCAAATTTAAAACTAATATATATTTTTTACAATTTTGACTTAAATAATCATTGAAACATTGCAAACAATATCTTATACGATAGCCAGGAGGTTCAAACCAACATTAACAATAAAACGTCCTGCAAAACGTCAGAAAAACAAAAACAAATAAACAATTTACAAAACAAATTAACAGGTCCCGAAACAGTCATAAAGGATAATATCAACCGGAACGGGAATGTACCAACTCCAAGGCTGACACTTTTTTCTTGTCTATTTTGAGTATTTTTTTCCTCAAGCTTTGCAAAAGTGGTATATTTTTTTGGTGAAATGTAATATTCTTTCAGGACTTTTAAAAGTGGTTTCGGACTTTTTCATTTGTGTTGTAAAATGTTAATTGATTTTCTTAAATGTAATTTTGACTGAACTTTCATAAAAGTGTTTCTGAATTGATATTGCTGGTTTGCACCACCCGCCCACAATGATCATAGCATCAGTATTATATTAACATGTGCAAACCACAGGATTCTGTTTTCAAGCCATTTATATTTTTCTTATAGCTGTGCTATTTTTTTAATCTTATTTATGTGGATGGATAAATATGCATGGACAGATCAAAGTCAGATCAACAGTACAATGCTTTTAGAGTTGTTGCTGATCACATGCTTTTATTGTATCTTGGAAAATGTTTTTACTATGGCTAATATTTGGAAACTACAGTTGTAGTGTCATGTCTTGCCTGGGTACCCTAAAAAAATTGCAGCAACATTAATATAAACTGTAAAAGAAGGAGCACAAAAAGGTAGATCACCATGTGGTAAACCGATGCTTTGTTTCCAAAGTTGTGCCTGATAGGTCAGATCACTTCACAGTAGATAACCTAGTTAGCACATCCCACTTTTAATTATCCTACCAATCCTCACATGAATTCATTATACCATCATATTAGCAGCTGTTAAGGTATTATAATGTTCACAATTCTGGACTTTGTGAACTGAGTGGTAGTAACATTGTCACCACAAGATGAAAAAGAACATTGTGACAATCATCCACTGCTGTTACTTTGGTTAAATTGCAGTACCTCATTTAACCTCCTGAGACCCTGTGTCCTCATAAGAGGACGTTGCATTTTTGTCTCTCTTTACCATGATACTTCTTTTTTTCTTTCAGCTTTGACCTCTTGACCTCATAGCAGATGCTATCAGACACTGTTTGAAATCTAAAGTAAAATGGTTTTATACATTTCCATCCAATCATGTTCTTATTGTGTAATAGAAAAACTGTAAATGAGTCAATGGGACTGTCAGAACAAAATTGTAAAAACATTTAATTAAATATGTATCTCATATATCTTTAAAAAAAAAGCTAAAATGCATGCCAAATAAAAGCTCGGGTCTCAGGAGGTTAAGGCACTGTGGTGTCTCAAGTACAGGTTGAGAATCAGAGATAGACACAGAACAAATTAGATTCTCACTATTTCAGAGTTACACCAAATATGGTGTCGCCGCAAAGCTATTGGTGCCTGTTCTGGTAGCAATCCAAGGATTCTTTAGGTGGACACCGGCAGTGAGGGATGCCATCAAGCTGAAAGAGTCCTTTCGGGCTTTCTTGACAAAGGGAACGTGGCTTCGGTGGTGGCTGAGGCAAAATATGGGAGGTTTTCAGAGAGACAATGGAGAGCTAATTCTGGACAACTTTGAAGAAATCCTTGTCCACCATGCAGCAGCTCAGAAGAGGGAAGCAGTGTCAAGTCGAAAATAGGTACACTGGGGATGGGGAGCTGTTGACCTCGGCTCAAGATATTTTGAAGTGCTGGGGGAATACTTTTGAGACCTCTTCAATCTCACTGAGATGCCTTCTTATTAGGAAGCAGAACCTGAGGACCCGGCCGGGCTCTCCTATCACAGGGGCTGAGGTCCCTGATGTAGTCAAAATGTGGACGAAATCTGGCTAGAGTTCCTTAAGAATGTGGATGCTGTGTCGCTGTCTTGGTTGACATGCCTTTGCAGCATTGCGTAGACATTGGGGCGGGCATCTGGGGTGGTGGTCCCCCTCTAGAGGGAACAGCCAGGGTGTGACACTTCTCAGCATTCTTGGTAAGGTCTAATCAGGGCTCATGGAATGGAGGTTCCGCAAGATAGTTGAATTCCAACTGGAGGAGACATACTGTCGTTTTTGACCTAGTCATTGAACAGATAACCAACTCTCACCCTCTTCAGATTCCTGGAGGGGGCATGGTAGTTCGCCCAACCAGTCTTCATGTGTTTCGTGGACTTGGGGAAGGTGTTTGCCCTTGTTTCCTGGGTACTCCTGTGGGGGAGCTCCAGAAGTATGGCGTACAAATGTTGTGAGGCAACCGTGCAAATCACCAAACTATCGTGCAGTTGTTACCAACAACACAAATTCTATACATTACCATACTAGAATCCATTTCAATTGGTATGGCCCAACAGGTTCTACATTTGGCTACTCATGATCACCTACTGGAAACATAATATATGGAAAGGAACTGGCAACAAGGGGCGGCACGGTGGTGTGGTGGTTAGCAGTAAGAGGGTTCTGGGTTCGAATCCCGGGGGAACCAGGACCTTTCTGGGTGGCGTTTGCATGTTCTCCCTGTGTCTGCGTGGGTTCTCTCCGGGTTCTCCGGCTTCCTCCCACAGTCCAAAAACCTGCATGTTAGGCTGATTGGAGATTGGGGAAATTGCCCTTAGTGAGAATGTGAGTGTGAGTGGTTGTTTGTCCTTGTATGTCCTGTGTGTGGCCCTGCGATGGACTGGCGGACTGTCCAGGGTGTACCCTGCCTCTCGCCCGTTGACCACTGGGATAGGCTCCAGTTCCCCCCGCGACCCCATGAGGGAATAAGCGGTATTGATAATGGATGGATGGAACTGGCAACAAGCTATCGGTAATATAGACAGGTCACCAGCAGAAAATAGCAAGATACTGCAAAAATCACAGTGTTAATCTTCTGCTGACCCCAGCCACTCACCTTGCTTCATACTATGTGGTGCTTCAGTCTGGGGTCATTTCATTCAAATCCATCCCTTGTTCGAAACTCAACCTTAACATGAAATTTTATTTCTCATCCTTGTGATGGCCACACCTGCATTCATACAGTTGTACCTTCAACTGGGTTGAAGGAAAGGACTCCAGCTTAGGTTTTTTGGGTTGAATTAGTTTCTTTCTTTGACTTATTTTAAGGTCCATGTAATTAGTGTTTGGAATGTTGTTAATTTGGGGAAATAAAACCAATTTTTCTTGAAAATCATAACTGTGTCCTCGTGCTAGACTGGTCCCGGTCGCTCAAACTCCTCGTGCCTGCACATTGTGTGGAATTAGTTTCCTTTTGAAGTCTGAAAAACATGCATTGTTTTTTGTTTTCAATTTAGACGTTACTTAGATTAATTTTGATGAATCTAAAAGTTAACATGGCGAATTAGATACAAAATAACTCACATTACAAAATATTAATCAGCCAAGTGGTCTATTACTGTCTGAGTTTCTTGATGGTTACAGGTATGTACTCACTTTTGCAAACTTAGAAAAAATGTAACAGCAATGTGCACCAGATGTGTTTTAATCTGGCATACATAGAAACTAAGAATGAATACGTTGTCAGAGAACTGTCATCTTTTATATATAAAAGTGTTGTTTTAGAAAAAAAAATGTGGATGCCACATGTGCTGGAACATTTTTTTCTCTACCCCATTTTACAATAATATTAGGCATCCATGACTTTAACTTTGGCAGAGCTTCCATTGTGTATGGCAGGCTCCAGACACACCTTAACAACATTCTAATGAAAACCAGGTTGCAGAGCTTCACCTTTACCTTCAGCAGTTTGCTGATCCACAAAAAAATGTCTTGGTATTACTAAACATGTTTCTACATAAGAATGTTGACATATGAACACATTTAATATGCAACAGTACAAAACAAGTACAGATACAATAATTCGGATTATTATATAGTGAAGAATTTAGCAAATTGGACTATCCAGACACATTTATTGGGCTGATAACATTACTTAAACACAGTGTATGACCATTGTAAACAATATAACAGAAAAAGGCATCAGCTCAGACTGAACTGTTTCAGAATTCAAAGTGTGCCAAGCTGGTTAAAATTCTTAACTCTTTGTCTTTTTTAAAATCCTCTTTATATATCTTTTTATTGTTAACTCATCATGTTTTCTTTACATAATCATTTTCTGCAGTATTGATAATAATCATAATTATATGTACAAATGAGGCCAAGACACTGGTTGCTCTGAGGCTGTAAGATAGCCTTTGAGTATTTGCACTTGTCTCATGACATAATCTTTGTTTTGTAAAATGACAAGGTAAGGCTAGGTTCCTTCCTTTCTGCTTTTGCTGCCTACATGCCTTGTTGGTGACTACAATGAAACATCTCACTTCTTTTTTCTTGGCAAGCAAGGTGGGGGCAGTGGCTTAGTCCTTAGATTTTTGCCACTGGTGGCAAAATCTTTTATGTACAAAGGCTTTAAAGAGCTGAACTTGTCCTTGTGGTTTGGAGCCCAACAAATAAATGCTTCCACATTTTTTCTCTATTTCTTGCCAAGTGTCTTCCTTTTTTTCCTTCTTTTTTGTTTGCTTTTTTTGTTTTGTTTTTTTCCTGAAATGTATTCATATCAAAATGTCTATATAGATTTAGTCATCCAAGTGGGAGACAGGGCTTGTCAGCATGTGATTGATTTGTTGGTTTAAACAGTTGTCAATGTATGAAAAGAGTCTCTTTGCTTTCAAGCTCCTTCATTCCAGTCATGTCCGATGTTTTTGTTCTTTATACAATGCTGTGAAATCTAAGATGAGATGCAGCCTTAAGACCAGTTTTCACATCTTTCTCTCTTCCAATTTGTTGTTCCACTCGTGTGTCTTGTTATGCTCTCCTTCTTTGACATCCTTTTCCTCTTCTCTCTCGTTCATGGAATCCTATTTTAGCAACCACTCATTCACTGGAAGAGAGGAGATGGAAAGCAGACAAAATAATGATTTACACATACATGAGGAATACATTTACAATATTTTACATACACACATACTGTGTATGTATGTTCCAACCTCAGCGCTCAACTCTGGTTTTGATTTATGTTCCCAGTCAAAAGATGTTGTTTTAAAAGGACAGTGTTTCTATGAATGGAGCTAATGTGTAGGGGTGTGCTAGAGGAGGTTCTGCAATGAGGGTGTTAACAGCTGCTATTATTTTTCAAGTGACAGTCTTAATAGAAAATTACACCCAAAAGTAAAGAGTTTTCAAAATTATTGATGAGCAGTATAATTCTAGGAAAAGAAATTTGGCATTTCTGTGAGTCGGATATAAATCACTGCATAATCTGATTTTCCAGTTGAAAGATGTTTAAACTATGTAAAAAAATAGAATAAAATAGAAAAAGTTTAATGAGATTGTAGTGTCTGAAGCCTACAGAAAGGGATGTGGTGTTCTGTTTGAAAGTGTCATCATCTGAAATGAACAATTCTTAGGATATAGCGTCAAGGGGAGTGGAGTACCAGAAAGGTACTCCACTCCCTTATTTGGTAACCCAGGGTTACCAAATATGGGAGGACAAGCTGTCATCTCAAGACCCATAGCAACGACTGTAAGGATGACCGAGTGTGATCCATACATAAAGAACTAAAGTAAGACCAGATATGGGAATGTGCAAACACTGGACTAAAGCAGGACCCAGAGTTAAACAGAGCTTTTTCGGACATTCGACTTGGAGACCTCTCCAGATTTTATGCATCAATCTGTACTTCTGATACGGACCTGGCTGATGATAAAAACCTCCTTTGTTCGACCAAACAGTCTTTTTTCCTGTAGCATGTTCACCTGAGCTATTTGAAGACGACCATCTCCATAATATACCCCACAATAAAATGAGAAAATATTAGATATGACAAAAAAAAATCTTCAAATCAGCATCAAACGTATGAAGCAACCAGCAGTTTTTGAAAAACAATGCTTTGTGCCATCAGAGGATGAAAAGTTGAGTACAATATATAATATATATCAGGCTAATGTAATTTACAGTCATGAAGATTTCCAGGCAGATACATGCCGTTAGATAGATTTGTTGGATCTCACACAGAATTTTAACCACAGAACTGTATAAAAAGCTTTGATTCCTGGAGTATTATTTTATTATCGAAATGAGTAAAGGTTAAAGTGTCTGTTTTGAACTGGAAATTAAATATATTGTTACCCAAAAGCATCTGAATAATCTGATTCTTGGTTAACAAAGCCGGTCCATTTAGCAGCATTGACATTCTGAGGTTTTCTGTTGTTGAAATATATCCAGGAAATACAGTTTTCCCTCTTTTAGTAAGAATTGCTGCCATACCAAAGCAACTTAATCTTTGAGGGCTTTTAAAGATTTAAACTAAACCAAATAACCTACATTGCTTTAGTGTTTTTTTTTCTTTTCTGCTGCCTAACAATCAGAGATGTGAACAGTGACCAGGGACTTTTGCAATCTCCCTCACATCTTCTAAGGTAAGCAGAGCTAGTACAAGAGAGCAGACAAAGATAGACAGAGATGCAGTGAAAAAACAATCTCGATGTCCACCGTACAGTAATTCCCACAATGAGAGGAAGGCACTTAGGCTACTTTTTTGCTTAAAGTTATTTTGAACCTCAGGGGTAGAACCTGACATCCTGTTCAGGTTTTACGCAGTTATTTCGGCTGATTTAGGGATGTGGAAAATTGTAGTTTGCAAGGAGTTCTGACAAGCCCAATTTCAGCCACCTAAATATCACATCTGTCAGTCAGAACACGCGTTCTGATACTGCCACTGTCTTTTCTGTCTCCTGCCTAGTATTGCCCATCTCTTGTCATTTAGTAGAACAGGAATGCACCAGTCTCTTCTAAAATGCATTGCTTGTTTTCTTTTAACGGCAATCTAGAACATATTCCCATAGATGTTACTAGTCTTACACACAGTTTTGAAGATTGAACTATTACAAGTAATTATTATTACTAAGTAATAATTTATTATGTTTACCGATCAAAACAATTTTTTCCAATTTTTTGGGGTTAAATGTCAGTACTACCCAATGATATAAAATTTACATACATTCTGTTAACCCTTTAACAGTGAAGCCTAAAAAGCAGAGTTAAAAGATAATTATGCAAACAGCATACGCTAAAAACAATGTATGCAATTCAAACGTCACAGTTAAAAAATATCCATCATGGCCATTTTAGCTGTATTGAGAATCTTTTTGACATTGGTATTGGTTCTGTGATAACACCAATAGGATCACCATTAAGCACTTTACATGTACAGTATTTGTCCATCAACGTTTGCAAAGTGCCTCTTATTATATATTTACAGTGTAAATACAGTATGCAATACTTTTCATTCTATAATCAAACAGGAACGAACATATTGGGGGCGATTTGGGGTTCGATTTCTTGCCAAAGGATGCTGATTTGACTGGTATGGGGGCCAGCTGAGTCACAGCCAACATCGTGCTTGCAGAGTGTCATTGCTACAAATAATAATACCACAGCTAAACTGTAATAATCCACATGATACTACAAACAAATAAAGTGGTTCTCTCGAGGATGCTTGTACTTATAAAAATAAGATGGTGGGCTCTGAAAATGCACCATGACAGATTTGTACCCAATTATTTCAGTATAGAGAACACTGCAGTGAGAGCTGCAGCTGAGCTGTTTTCTCAGGACAATAGCTTTTATTTTCAACTTTGTAATATCACAAAAAAAAAGTTGAAAGATGTAAATAATAAATTAAGCGACAATTGTTTGCCGGGTGCGCATTTCGTAACCTCCTAAAATGTTGAGCTAGGGTTTATACAAAAGGCACTACAGATCCTTTATGAAGTTTTAGGAATAAGTTTATAGTTTAGTTGGTATGGCAACGAGCCCAGTCTGAAAGAAAGTTTCAGGGGATTACAACATATAAGAGATAAAGATAAAGGC